AATGCTCATTAAAACATCAACATAAACGAACACTCTACAATGTATGAGGCACAAACTACTTGAATTGCAACTTACTTAGGTCATGACACTAGCATATACATGTATATACCTGTTGTAACATTTTTCTGAACTCAACACAGGCACTAGAAATGCAGGAAACAGTTTTTGGAAGTGTAAACTGTTACCTTTCAAATGCATACCACAAGTGCTTAATTCATAACACAAACATATTGTTTAAAGTTAATATTCATGTGGAATGTTTACTTTTTATACTTTTCGCAACAACACCAAAAAAAGCTGAAACTGTGAAAGAAAGATTTTTACTTCTATCTGAACTTTGCTATTTTGAATCTTTAACAACAGTATATTTTCTTTTTTCGTTTTATGCAAATTTACCCAAATTTATTGGTTCCAGATACAAACATTGTGTATTTCATTCTTCCAGAATTCTGGGGTTTCACAAGGGTTTAAAAAAACTGAACATGGTTAATTTTCCATTTTGCAACACTTCAAAAAGGCCTGTTTCACAGTTTGGAAGCAATACATGTAGGACTCCAGGCATGTTTCTAAACTACCAAGACGCAAGCTTTTCATCCTGAATAACTTTACATCTCACTTCTTGATGTCTAGAATGCTTATCATTCTTAGTTTCAATAAGGCAGCTGCTGTTGTTCGTGTAAAACATGTTTGTTACCTTGTTGTCCAGGTCTACAGCTACATCAAACAACTATTACAACAAGTCAACTACAGGTTTTGACATTTGCAGAAAATATAAAAATTACATTAGCAACTTGCTTGTATAGATAATATCATATATACTATGAGAACTACATAGCGGAATTCTACACAAACCACTATATGCAAAGAAACTAAATATAATTAGCATTAGCTTTACAAAATATACAGGGAACTGCTTTGTTACACAAGAGTTCTGTACATAATTTGTTCATTGAAGACAACATTTGATGTGGTCCTACAAAATTCAGTACCTATTTTTAAAAACGTTACTGTAAATATTTTGCTGACTGAGCTTGAAAACTTGGAAAACTATACTGGAAGCTGAAATGACTGATTCAAACCTATCTATGTAACAGTCTGCAAACAACTATCTTCACCAGAACTTGCTATATATTGGTACACTGTGTTTGTACACAAACTCTGTAACACAGGGATATTGGAGTGAATGGTCACTTCTAAACATATCACCATTGTTACAGGTCTGTGGATTTCCCACGGGATTGATTGTGGACTAGCAGGAAGTTGGCGGCCTTATCTACATCCCAGTTGCAGTATATGAGAGTCTGCTTGGCGTACTTGAAGTCGCCCTCGTCCATGTTGACCAGCTGTTGGAGTTTGATGAACTTGATGGCCTTGTCCACATCATATCTCATCTCACGTAACGCCATACGGCAATCCTCAGTGGAAACCTGACAGAAGAACCAACACAAAAGCTGGTATTTAGAAAGGACCCGCCTACAGAGACAAACGGAATGAACAGGTGCCAGGTTCTCCCTATGGTGGCACTTATGAAACATGCAGATGGCAGCAAGCCCATGCACTGCATGCAAAAACCCTAGCAGTTACTTCTTGAAGTGTGTGGTTAGGTTTCCCTAGAGTCTTATATATTTTGGAAGGTGGCACAGGCAAACCTTCCGAAGATAAGAAAGTATCTATTTTCTGAGAAAAAATTTATCTTCATCAGTTTATCCTAATACCCTTTATGAACCCTAGTTGATTGACTGGAAGGTCAGGCTAGGCTTGCCTGCAGTTTTCTCTTGAAAAGTTACAGTTATCTGTATAGTAAGTTTATCTGACAATTCTGGGCCAATAATCAGAACATTTTGTCTGATATTGTCAGGAAATAACTGCAAGGTTCAGATATCTAGAGTTGTTAACATTGTCCATGCTGAATATACACTACACAGCTACATTTACTTCTTCTACTGCCACATGCATGAAAAGCGGTATGGTCTAGAAATGGCCACTTCTTATGTACGCAAATCAACTCAGCAAATACAAATAAATCATGATCATGTATATGCATTTACAACATTTGTCCGGCATTTTTTTGAAGGTACTTAAATGACTGGGAGGTACTTTTTACCTCAGAACACACCAATTCAATTAATTGGATCTTGTATTCACCGGCTTCATTTTTTCCAGATTTGCGAAAAAAAATAATAATTCAGGTCCTGAATCAACTCCAAAATGCTCATATTTTTGCTCCACAGTTAAAGACAGCTCCTGGTTTTCGTAGTTGTTACAGCTTTTCCATCTAGCAATGCTGTGCTTTGATTAAAAGCACAGCATAAAGTTCAAAATTCATTGTTTGAATTATAAACCAGTGACTGGTATGTTGACATTATAGCCCCTGTCGTAGCTTTTGGGGCTCTCAGAGGATCTTCAGGTGTGTTTGTATCTTTTTATTTGTTCACTCTGTCACTTCATATTTTTCCTGGAAAAATCCAAGAGCCAACGAATCAAATTGGTGTGGCCTTGGCTTTACTAACTTCATGATGACCAAAACTAAGGAAAATATCTTTAAAAATTGCAACCAATTGTTGTGACAGAAAATCTGAGGTATTATTAGAATTTGCTCAGTTATGAAAAATGCCAGTCTGTAAGTCATTCAGGAATAATTTCTAAATATTTTAGAATGACTGTAAGTTGGTTAAAAAGTCTGATCTGCTGTACAGTTACATTGTAGGTTAATTGTTGAGAAGGCTATCCATGTTTTTTTTCCACAACAAGTGTCCCTAGTATGTTGTGGAAGAATGGGATGTGTTCTTCTCACCTTAGGGAGAACACTGTCACATTAGAATGAAAACTATGAAGAAAACAAAGAACAGAAATCAGAAGCAGTTAACTAAAAAAGTAAAGATAATAATAATAACAATAAAACAACTTTGACTGGTAAGCCATTATTAAAAACATTGTTGCTATTTATTAATTGCAATTAGTATGATGAATCTCTGAATATAGACTGAATCTCTCAATTTGAAGCTGTAAGATGCTACAATGTATATCAAGCATTAAACTCATCATCCGACAAAAGGGCAACAACATGCAATAGATCTGAAACAAAACAAACTAGCCACCAGTAGTGTGTAAATGCGAGCAATTTTAAAGTTTTTAGAAGACCGCAAGCAAAGGTCACAGGTCAGAATTGATAGTTCACACCACCTTGTAGGCCAGTCTTAGTCATACTTCTGTTTCAAGCTCCACAAAAACGCAAATTTTGTAGAACCAACACTGACAAGAGTGATGTTAGTACATGTGACAGGGACAAACATCCCCTTTGAAGTTTAGGGTTAGTTTAAACAAAAAACTACATATAGAAGAAAAATTAGCAATAATTGCACTGAGACAACAAAGAAATGATAACAATGGACGAACTGAAGGAAGTTTCCCTGTAAGTAGCATAGAGGTAAGCGTGAAACAGAAATACAGCTAATCCTGGCCCACAAGCTCAGTAGAAATGCCCATTAGTAAGGCATGCCAGTATGTGAGTGCCAAACCTGCTCCCCCACCACTCTCTGCATCTCAACTATCTCCCATCGAAGGGGTCTACGTCGAGGAATGTCTTTCTCGCGGTCTTTATTACCATTTCTGTGATGTGACAACGGCTTGCCGGTCATGTCCATGTAACCTTCATCTGTTTCTGATGTGTCTGTGGCAGAGCTGGCATTTCCCGGAGAACGATGGTACCTACGCGATGGTGGTGCCTCGTTTGCGGACTCCGCCGCGGGCGGGTTGGATGAGCAGTCCGACAGTTCGTCGTAGCTGGTGTTATCGATGGAGATGGCACTGGAGGAGCTGCTGTTCTGTTGGCTCTTCTTCAGTCTGGAGTCAGCGGTCTCACGTTTACTCCTGGGTTTACCCATAGCAAAGAAGGGATCGGCCATAAACATCTTTTGTCTAAGGAATGGGTCCTCGGGAAGCTTCTTGGCAGGCTCTGGTGCAGCTTCCTTCTTCTCTCCTTCTGGGACATAGTTCTTAAAGGTGATAGTCCCCTCAGGCGACGTGGTAAGGAAGACATTGTCGTTACCTTTAAAAGGTGAGTTGACTTCGCTATTGGTGCGACTGCGGTTGTTGCTGGGATACACAGGTGACCTTGGTGTTGTTGGAGAAGGCATCTCGGGAAGAGAAGAGGCATGTTGTAGTGATGAAGTACTCCCTGTGCCTGGGTTGTAGTAACTCTTGTCACTGGATGTGGAGGATGCTGTGGACTTTCTTGTCCTTCGACGTGGTTTGGGCCAGTTGGTCTGGATAGGCACTCTGGGTGGAAGCGGCACTGGGTTGGACAAGGAATCGCCGGACTCTGTGGATGTTGTTTCATCTGGCTCTTCTGGGACTGGCCTGGAAAGGAGTGGACTGTCCAAGGACCTTAAGCGGCCTATGGATGGACTGGAGTTGCTGTCCTCTTGGGAAGACCTATCAGAAGCACCCCTAATCCTTTCCTCCCACACCTTGGTCTCCTCCTGATATGCCACCCGCGACCTCTCCCTTGCCTCTGCTATGGAGTCAGTGGACACACCCCCAACCAATGCATCATATGCCTTTTTCCCGTCGGGGGAGATCGTTTCACATAGTTTTAATGCAACAAAGTCTGTGGGAGATTTAGGACTTCTCTGGGCATTGTCCGTACCTTTTGTTACTTTGCCCTCCTCTATTGTCTGAGACGTGAGAGATGACACCGATTTTGTTGGTGACCTTGGGCCACTGGAAACACTGCTGGAAGACTCGGTGCTTGCTGTTCTTCGGTATGTCCTTGCAGAGCTGGTTGGGACAGGGATGGATGAGGGAACCTTCTTGTCTTTTTTCTCCGGACTGGGAGGGGGTGCAGCTTTCTCCTCTTCTCCTCCAGTCTCCATGATTTTCAGCACATCATCCAGGAGAGATGGGCCAAGGTCCAGGTTCTGTGTAAGGAACATGAGGAATAAATCCAGTTTGGAAAATAATGTTGTCTGCAAATCATACCAAATAAAAATTTATCCCACTCTTACAATTTGGTAAGGCCTTTCAGTCTTTGTGATAGAATTGATAAGTAGTTGTAACAGTATTTTAGTTGGCTGTACAGAATTCTGAGACTTAATCCAATCTAAAAATGACTTTTATTTCATTTCATTTTATTTCATCAAGAAGAGCTACATGTATTATGTAGGGATTTTACACAGTTGGAGGGCTACATGTACTTACTAACTAACTATGGAATACCTATAGTTGACCTGGGCAGCGAGATACAAATGTACATGTATCCTACAGGCCAGAAGAGAGCATGCACAATCAACAATAGACTGGATACCAGGGTAGCTAATTATAAAATATAAGATCCTGTGACTGTGAGAAGCCAAGTGTTGGCTGGGTACCTACCAGGGACAGTACTGAGGTTGAGTCCTACCAGTTCGCACCATGCAGCAAGGAAGGGCCAAGGACAAGTCATGCATGCAGAGAAATAAGGAAAGAAACATGGCAGCAGAAATAAGTAAGGTGGTCATCATCTACCATGCTTGCAACAAAAGGAAACATAAACATCGAAACAGACTTTAATGAACACTGAAGTATTTTGAATAATCAAATCTCTAGCTCGTAAAATGTACAAGTCTGGCTTTTGAATTTGTTTTTGTAAGTCAAGTAACATACATGTATGTCATACAGACAGTGGAACAGTCGTAAATAAAAAAAAACACTTCAGTGTTTATTAAAGCCATGTTGCAGAAAAAAGGCCAAAGAATTTGTTCCAAAACACAAAAATGTATGAGAATGAGCCTTAATAGGATAAAAGAACAATTTACTACGAAACTGAAGGTGAATGTAGCAATAGGAAACAGCAATACAAAGATCTAGAGCAGATTATAAAAACTGATTCCAACACACACAAACACACACACACACACAAAAGATGACCTTTACAGCCATAAGTTACTAACTGACTGGTTGGATAGAACTGAAAAAAAAAGGAATGCATTGAAGGAGAAGGCCTCTGATGTTGTGTGAAGTACAGTACTTACAAAGTCATCCTTCCCGTTGGCCTCCCCTCCGCCATCACCTTCCAGGTCCAGATACTCGTGATCCGACACATCTGAGTTGACCACGTCCCCTGACAAGGCACGATCCAGAGAGTCCTGCGACTTGCTGGGAGACGAGGAAGACTGGCCAATGGGAGAAGTCCGTCCATCAAACTTGTCACCTTCAGAGAGGTGCAAGCGAGGTGGTTTGGGAGGTCCGGCCTTTTCCGGTGACTGGTCTGGGGTGGACATAGCTGAGGAATGACCATTTTGTTGTGATGCTGCTTGGTCTGAGTGCACATAAAGAAAACATGGAAATGTCTCTGTGAATAGTTTCATTAGGTTGGTAAAACAATGGACATTTTAGTTTTCTTTTTTTTTTACAACTATTATTATGAAGGCCACACCAATTTAATTTGTTGGTGCTTTGATTCGCCCATTTCATTTTTTTTTCAGATTTGCAAAATAAAAAAAAGACATTTCAGGTTCTGAATCAACTCCAAAATGCTCATATTTTGGCCCCAACAATTAAAGGGAGTCCCTTGTTCTTACAGTTTTCCATCTATCAATGCAGTGCTTTGATTAGAAGTTTGAAATTTATTGCTTGAATTACAAACCAGTCTGGTATGTTGGCTTCATGGCTCCTATCACAGCATTTGGGGCTATACTTAAGGATGCCTAGGTCTGTTTTTCATGTTTTTTCTGCCCTGTCACTTCATTTTTTTCTCTTAAATATGAGAACCAACAAATCAAAGTGGTGTGGCCTAAAAGGACATTACTTGCCAAGGTTTCATTTACTTTCTGAGCGAGATAGTAGAAGGACAAATGAAACATTTGCAGGTAACTTTCTCTTGTTTGTTGGTGGGGTGGGGATATGGCTAAGCCACAAGAACAAAACAAAATGTTAGTTGAAAAACAGGAAAACTTCAAGACTACGTATCCCATGCTTGCAAATTAATATTAAAGAAATTCGTCAATAAAACAAAGTTTCATAAATTCTTAATTCTTTGCAATCCTACTGTACAACCTTAAAATTAGTCACGCCTGCAAGAATTTACAGAACAAGTTCAGCTGACCAGAACAAAATACAAGTTCGCATAGCACACGAAACACGAAACAGATAAAAGCCATATTTACATGCAGATAAGCACTCACATGATGCACTCTTGACTGGAAGAAGATGACTGTGGAGGGAAACAAACATGGCAACACATTTTATCATCACTGATCATACATGTACCTGTGTCAAACAATATCTTTGATTACAGAGGTGTCTGTTATTCAAGGTTAATGACCTGCTTTCTAAATTTAAAAATTGTGTTCATGGTGACAAAACACCAGGCCAGTGACCTCTCACCACCAATAAATTATCAATAGTGCCAAGAGGTGGTTATAGGTCACTGGCTAGATGTAAGTGACCTCTCACCACCAATAAATTATCAATAGTGCCAAGAGGTGGTTATAGGTCACTGGCTAGATGTAAGGTTCCTGTTAACTAAAAATAATGTACCTGATATGATATTATTATCCTATACGACATACTGTATATACATGTGATGCTAATTAGATAGTGACCCACTTATCATGTTATGGTAAGAACTGCATCCCTTCCCATAATATATTCGTGTGTTCGTGTGTGTGTGTGTGTGTGTGTGTGTGTGTGTGTGTGTGTGTGTGTGTGTGTGTGTGTGTGTGTGTGTGTGTGTGTGTGTGTGTGTGTGTGTGTGTGTGTGTGTGTGTGTGTGTGTGTGTGTGTGTGTGTGTGTGTATGTATTTTTGTGTGTGTGTGTGTGTGTGTGTATACATACATACATACATACATATATATATATATAATATAATGTATATTATTGGTGGATCATTAATAGTACACCACTTTCTTCTTCTGTATCTGTATCAGTATACCCAGTATAACCGCCCTTCGCTGTAACACATGCTTATGCAGCTATGGAGGCTTGTAATTGGTCCACAAAGCTGGTATAATACTGTATGTGGAAATGACAAAGACAATTAAGACAATTAAAAGAACAAAACTACTTCCAGCTTTTGCAATGTCACAATAGTGAAACACAGTGATTTTATTTCCGTGGACAGGTTATCACTTGGCTGTGAATTCATGACACTGCGAATATTCATCCCTTGTACATGTATAACTACTGCATTCCAGGTACGTTGCCCTGTGAATGCACACAGTGCATAATAAATATTTGGAAACCATTCCTTCCCTCCTACAACTGTGAAACACCACGAAAAGATTCACCATTACAATAACAGGCAAATACTTGAAAATGGTGATTATATCTTACTATTTGTCCTTGATAAATGAAGTGTCACCAAAGGCATCCTGTTGTCCTCTCAGTCCTATGTGCATGGTGTGCTTAAAGTCCCCCATAGGTCCACTGATCATATCCCTGGTGATTGTCAGGGAACTGAGAAAAAATTGGCATTAAAGAAGATTCTGTACAAATATACAAACATGTAAGATTCTCTAGGAATACGAATGATAATTACATGTACAGATTAAAACATGATTGAATTAGGCCTTACAACAGTTTTATACCACAGTGCACTGCAATTTTTTCGTATCAAAGTGTTTTTTGGTCATACTCATACTAAAATGTCTGTAACAATCTTGAATATTGGATTGAGTTTCAATTATGCTGCATTACATTGGACTTAGCATGACTATGTTACTAACTTGTGCCACTACCACAGAAATTCTGCAATCAATATATTGGTACTATGGTAGTATACACAAGGTAACATCAGAAACTCCAGGAGGAATTTCACCAACAAAAGTCCTGATATGACAAGTAATAATGTGATGTTTTTCATTAGAGTACGACATCAATCTTGGTGAAAGTGTAGAAAAATTGTATTCCTATTCCATTGCACCTGCAACATTTGTGACAGAAATTGTATTTTTCAGTTATACACACGTATAATGTCCTTGATTTTTCTTAATTGATATATAATGAAAAAGAAGGAATGCATAAAGAGAAAGGCACAACTTGAAAGTATTAGCTATAGCAAGGCAACAGTACAATGTAGTATACTATATAATGCTATTAAAGCATGTATATATCAGGACTGCTACCATATCTATGAGTTGGGGTGGGGGTTGTGGTAGCTGATTAAAGATAATATTAGAGAGGGCATCCTTTGAACCTTATTCCATTCTTTGCTGCCTTCTTATGTAGTCAACAACTGGTGACCTTGTGTATGACCTTTGAATGTTGCCCTCCACCGCCAACTTCAAACGTGGATGCACACTCACCCTTCTTTCCCTACGGCACCCCGTTTACTGGTGCCGGCCCTAATGGACGCGAGCATGCTGTGTAAAGGGTCAAATGCAACTGTAACATCATTGATGCCTGATCTTGTGAAACAATGTTAAAGATGACTTAATGGTTTGATGGCTTCTGTCCTATGGTGGTATGGATGTGATTATACATGTAGTTATTCCGGTGGAATATTAAGACATCTCGATGTACATGGCCGTATTTCCTTAAATGAATTAACATTTGTTTATTGCAAATTCATGGCCGAGGGCTGATTGCAAAATTAATACAAATTTCATACAAGAAAGTAATTCATAACTAAACACAAAAAGTAAAAACTATGGTAACCGTAACTCTTAAGTCTAGTGGATTTGACTTCTTCAATCATAACATTGCATGAAGAGTGGAATTAATTGGATTAAAAACTTGTTATGTTAGATTCCACTACCTGAAATTCTGAATGCAATAAATTGGAAAAAATGTGAAAACCACAAGAACAGAAAAAAAAATTAAAAAGTGATTTGTTTTATATGTTAGTGCTGCCTTCACTGAAATGGAACGACTGCCTACGTGAACATAACATATAACATTTACTTAACATTGAATGATATTACATAAAATATAATATTAATTACAAATTGATCTGCTTATAGTGCTCATTCACCACACGTCATCATGACGTCATCATTCCTATGTCTAGTGCGACGCCATTTTGGGGTCAATCTCTACAGTGAGTTTCTCAGCCTTAGATCTATAATGGCTGCCAAAAGTTGGTAAACTGTTTTTTGTCCAACTACACGAAGAGTTGACCACCTCTCGTACTACAGCTTTACCAGAACAAAATGAAATATGTTGAGATTGACCCATTCTGCTGAGTTTTGATCAGTTTGATCGAGACCGGCATCTACCCCATTGACTTTGCTTCATATTTGGCACTAGACACAAGTTTTTACACCCCCCAGGAACGGTTCAAACCCTTTAAGGCTAAGAGTCTGGAAGGGATGCGTTGTATCGGGGTGTGTAGAGAGTGTTGGGGGCAGTTGCGTGGTGACAAGTACGTTGTGGTCATGATAGTCAAAAAGGTCACAAAGTTGGAACAGCCCCGGACTCAATGTCTGGATAATCACAAGTGAAGCCAGGGCCATCCTCAGTCCGCACTACCATGACATGTGTGGCTGGACAAGGTGTCGATACATGGAAATTTACCAAAGAGTTAAGGGACAGATAGCTCCAACAGATTTACCGTGTTCATGGCAACGTTGCCATCTACAGCCCCCTCCACTTCCCATCAGTATGAAAGATGAAAGCCAATCTTGAGACTAGTGGACACGGAGCCAGAACAATCCCAAGGGCAATGTTACTAACAAGATTACAAGAAGAGTGTCTGAAATGTAGATTCTGGCCAAAACTATATGCAAATATCGCCATATGAGTTTGCATACCGTGCCACAGCGATAGGCACCATGCTGCACCCCAACATGGCGGACAATGCTCATTGTCAGGGGAAAAGTCACGTGGCAATTTGTGGTGAATAAGCCCTATAATTATTATACTTACTGACTATACATCATGTACCTCAGATGTTAGATCATTTAAACTATTTGGTCCAAGAATCATAGCCTGGGTACCATCCAACTTGTATGCCGGGGCTCCCACACTCGCTTTCCTAAGAAAAGGGAAGCGAGTGTGGGAGCCCCGGCATACAAGTAGGATGGTACCCAGGCTACAAGAATCACTGTCAAACTTTGAACTTGAATTCCAGGAACTCATACCTTCGCCAAATGTTAACCTTGAATCGACGTTGACAAATCATGATTTTCATTATGAAAACAGGATCGTCATCATTTGCATGAATCATATTCTCAACCTAATGACAGCCTTATCTTATGAAAAAGGGTGATTTATTTATCAAATTATGCAAATGGAGTGCAGATTTGAATAAGGTATATTTAGTGATGTTATGTTTAGTGACTTTCACCACCTACATGTATATTACCACCACCATATTCACCTTGACTTACTTCCATATGCCACAAGTATAAAATTTCCAGCAGTTGCATCATGGAATTATAGGTTATTCTTATTTTTTTATCAATCAATCGGCTCAAATACGCCCCAAATTATCTCAGCAATTTATCAGCGTTTAAAAGATATTCATTTCCAAACATTCCTTTCCGAAATCCACAACGATAATAAAGTTGCTAATTCAAAAAATAAACTTCGAACATACAGATTATTAAAACACTCATATAATGAAGAAGATTATCTTAAGATCGCAAATGTACGTCACAGATCTGCCATTACTAAACTAAGAATCAGTTGTCACAATTTGCGAATTGAATCAGGAAGACATAACCGCACTCCTCTAGAGCAAAGAATCTGCCAATATTGTAGTTTAGGTAAAGTAGAAGACGAGGTACATTTTATTGTGGATTGTTCCATGTATGACAGCGAAAGAAACGTTCTTTTCGATTTTGTGTCAAGCAAATACTCCCAATTTAAGTATTTGAATAGTATAGAGAAATTTATATTCCTTGTAGTCTTTAACAAACCAGCTCTAACTACTCATACATCCAACTACATTTATAAGATTACCAGAAAGCGAGATGAAGTTGAACGTACTTGTGTACTATAGCTGTTTTATTATCAACATTGATGATGTACTTTGTCAATATGTGACCTGTCTTTAGCCCAGTGGGGCAAAATGTACAATAAAGGTCTTCATTCATTCATTAATTGTGCAAATTGGGTCCTCATTTGCATAACCAATATCTGCTAATGTTTTTCTCGTTCACAACTACATACTCTCATGTCCCGAATGAACGTACCGGTACGTTTTTTTTTTTCGGCCCAAACGTCCACCCGGTACGTTCTTATTAGGGACGGTACATTTATAAATTTTTGGAAAAAAATTGTCAGTACCTGTATTCAGAAAGGCATTAAAAATTTAACAAATCTTAAACGTGAAGGCGTAAAGTTTGACGCATACAACCCCCAGAAAATGTCATGTTCCGACAGTAACGTTCCTGCCGCAGGTCCACCCCACACAGTTTCAGACTCAAATAAATAACGCGCCCCTTCTAAGTACAACCGTTGCCAAAGTTAATATTCATTTCAGAGAAGAGTTGCATAAAGTAAAAAGAGATTTAGGCTGTGTACTAAGGAATTGTGTGGTAATTGCCACAGTTACGTAGCGGAAAACGTTTCATGTTCCGGCTTGTTTTCGTCGCCGGCTGCAGCTGGTCGCGCGCATGCTGCTGCTGCGCTAGTATCGGCGGCTCCGACGGAAAAATAATTCATCCCCGGAAGAAATGTTACGCATAAAAATAACAACTGTAACTGATTTTCCTTGTTTCATGAGTTTTTGAGGCCGCAAAATGTTCAAAACGGTTGAAATTTGTCCAATTTGTCCAAAAAAACAGCGCGAAGCAAAGTGAGAAAACATGGCTGACGCCCAAAACAAAAGTGGTCAAAGGTCAAGTTAGCATCCAAACGTACAAGATATTACTGCTAAAACGATACTTTAAACGCATGAAAAAATTTTTTTTCCACAAAAAAAAAAGAAAATAATACAAATTCAGGCATATTTTTAGAAGGTTAATTTTCAAACGTTAGCGTGATATTTTTCAAAATAATTGGTTTCTAGTTTCAGAATATAATTGTTTATAAGAATGGTTGCTATGGATGCTATGAAGTATGGGAGATACAATGTATTATTATAACTGTTATATTAGAGATTATGATCATGCCTACCGCGGTTCGAGTGTTTTCTCAATAATTATTTTTGAGTTTATAGAGAATAATTTAGACATAATCACATTTTTGTTTGTTCAGCTGTGTCAATATGTGATTTTGTTTGGGAAATGTTATTGGGTTAAGTTAGGTTTAGTGTCAGTATTATATATATATAAACACCTTTAGAATGCTCCAAGTTCCAGGTAGTAAATACATGTACAGTTTGTATCATGTATTTTTCACTTGTTGAACTTGTGGAAGCACCGTTGGCCCCCGGTTAGGGGTCATCCGGGGAACCTATGCCCAATTTTTTCAAAATTAAGGATCCTAATACAATTTTTTTTTCAAACATGAAGTATATTTATACAGTATATTTATATTCCTAATCAAAAGTAACAGTGAAAGATTTGCCCATACATTGGTATTGAAATAAAGAGCACATTTTAGTTACCGTTCACCTGTCAATTTGGTCATTTTCCGGGGGGTACGTTTATTCCGGAGGGTATGTTTATTAGACTTTGAAGATTTGTCCAGGGGGTATGTTTATTCTGGGGGTATGTTTATTCGGGACATGAGAGTATGTCACAAGTTTGAATAGTCCTATAATGGAAGCCA